AAAAAAAAAAAAAAAAAAAAACAAGCGCTTGTGAAAATTGGGCATTCTAAAACTTACAGAAAATTTGATAAAACAATGTTAAGCATTAATGCTAATTTGGGTTTGGCTGAGGTGGGCATGTCCTTGTAGTTATCAGCTGCCTAAGTTTACCTAAGGTTATTTAAGTTGATGTTATCTGCTAAACCTTTTAAGAATAAAATGCTTAAAGGCTTGGCTTTGTCTAATATTCAGTAAAGGTCTTCTAAGTAATCTAGCATAGTTGTTAGGAATGAGTGAACTAAATAAGTGTGGCAAGTGAACACCTTAATAATTGTGTGTTACAGTGTGCATACCTACTTACAGCCTGAGAATCTTTGTGGTAACCTAAAACCTTAAAGTTTTGCTAAGTTAAGAAGATACACTTTGTGCTTAGTGAGAGATTGTGTTGTAAAGCTCTTGGTTAACAGAAATTATAAAATGTTCATAAATTTGTCAATCCAAAGAATGCTAGTGTAACAGTTTATAATAGCCTACTTCTCAGTGTTCACTAAAAATTAAGGTACCTAATGGTTTTAAGTTCTAATTAAAACTACTTAAAGTAATAAGGAAAACATTTCTGCATGCTAAAGAATGTGTCTTTTGATAAAAGAAAGTAATTGTTCTAAAGTACAGTTGTTTATTTAGAGGGAGAAATCTAAATGAAAGAGAAGGTTGTAGAAAGTTTGTAGAAGAATTTAATATAATCATGCTATATAAAATCAAAGCAAATGAGTCTCAGTATCAAGTACACAGCAAAATTAGAATTTTGTTTTCAGTTAAAAAGACAAAGATTTCTTAACTGTTAGTCTGCTCTTAATATTGAAACATTGCAAAGAGTTCTCTAATTGTTTTATCAAAGCAGTTTTTCATGCTTAAAGTCTCAGTGAGTTGTCAGAGTATTTAAGAAAATGATATCATAATATTAAAAAGACTAAAGCTAAGCTTTGCTAACAACTGTAACCTTCTGTATTTGCCTTTAAAGTCTTTTATTGTCATTCTAGTTAAAATAGATAAGTATTGCTTCATAGCAATCTATAATCCTATTTAAGCAAGTGCCCGAGAAACTTTCTTCGGACAACTTCCCAAAAATCAAATTCAAAAAGGTACTTTTACCTCTAGTTCACTCTGGTATTTTCCAGAAGGCCCCTGGAACATGTCAGAGGAATTTTTTCTCCACATTGGAGAAAGTATTTGGCTAATTTGGCTTATTTATCTGATATATATTTACCTGCTTAATTACCTGGAAGGCACTGTCAAAGGGAATGATGCTAAACTTTGTTACTGAATGTCTTGTGTTACAGAAATATTCAAAGTTCCTTATGTCAATTGTCTTACAGTAAGCTCTCATCAGATCTTTAACCATTGTCATTTCTAAGTCTTTTGTCATCTATACTCACTGGTTTATTACTCCTAAACTAGTAAAAAACTAGATTTCAGCAGAACAGGTATTAATTACATAGGATTAAGTAAACTAAGGAAGACGATTTGGTGGCTTTTTGTTTCAAATGTTGTTGATAAAGTGTTTTAAGCTTTTTCTCTTAAGCTGACAGCAGTTTAGTAAATAACTGCCTTTATAAGCAGAATTGAAACTTTATCTTTCTCTCTACCTGATCCTCCAGAATTTAAATACTTTCAGTGACTATTTTTATATTTCATGGCAGTATGTTTATTTGCACAAGTTCAATAAGAATCTGCTTTCCTTGTAAGAACACCAATTAAAAACACTGGTTATATTAACAAGGCTTTGACTGGAACGTCATACCTGAGAGACACGTGTGTAAACTCAGATATGAACAGACAGCTTTAAGGAACTAAGATTGACTTTATAAAGCCAACAAAGCCCCTTGGAAGAACTGGCCTGGTACCTTGCTTCCTGGGTCCTCAGCCACCTTAACTGGTGAGTAAGGAAGGTCACTTCCTGGCAGGTGCAGGAACCTCAAGATGTCTCAGGGACCTCTCTCCCTTGAGGCTCCTTGAGAAGAGAGGAATTCACCCAAATGTACAGGTACTGCAGGCACAACCTGATGGCAAGTCTGGCTTAGCTTTCTGGCCTCAAAAAGCCTTTAAAAGTCCAATCTGAAATTCCTTATAAAAGTTCCAGCAAAGCATATTTAAAGGAGCCTATGTAATCCATTGCTCTTCTTGCTGCACTTATGCAAATAATCAAGCCAACTGTAATTATTTTCTTAATCTGGCTACTTCTAATAAAAATGAGGGTGATTATAGAGAAAAGTATTGTTTCAATAATGCAGTCTTATCTATACTAAATACTAATACTAGTCATTGAAATGTAAACTCGATCCAAAATTCCAGTCCCCCATAATGGCCTGGCTAATGCCCCTACTGGGCTCCTTAATAGCAGTTTGTACTTTACTCTTAGTTGCTCTTGTGTCCTCAGGTTCCTCCAATCGTGGCTAACCCAGATGACCCGGGTTGCCACCAACCAGATGTTACTTCACTGCTATGCACCTCTTCCCACTGAACCCCCTCCTTCGGCCTAATATAAGCCTCAAACCCCCATGATGCCCCTTGTCAGCCAGAAGTAACCAGATCGAGTTGTCACCCATTATGACCAAAAGGCTGGAATGTTAGGCTGGAGGAAGAAAAAACAAGGACATGCAAACAGAACAGAGAGATACCATAAAAGGAGAACAGACCAGACCCCCAAGGTCCATGCCTTATATGGAAAGGGGACAGATCTTCCTGAATTCCATCCTTCTGATGTGCCAACTAAGACCCAGATGTCAGCCTCCTCCCTCTTGGAAGGAAAAAAGTTTCTAGTTGTCTATTATGTCACCTTTAGCCAATCATACCTCTCCATGCCCCCTAGGATAGCTTACACACTCCTCCCCATCTTAATCCCTTATAAGCCCCCACCTCCCTGACCGGGTGTGACTTCTCTGGCCTATAATACCCAGACCGGAGAACATCACCCAGGAATTGCACTCAAATAAACTGCCTGGCCCTTTGTTGCCTCTCGTCGCCTGCTTATTTTGGCTAGAATTTATCTTACAATAAATACCCATTTTCAGAAATGAAATGTCCTTAGATGGAGGCCCTTTTTCTATCTGTAAAAATGAATTGCATTAATAGATCTCTCACTGTCCCCATCCAAATCCTTCTTTCACCTGGAATTTTCATTTTGGATGACAATGCTTTACTCAAACCATGATCTTAATGTGAACTTTTGAGAGTAAAATGGAAACATGTATTTTAAAATATAAGATCAAATATAGTACACTGTAGATGACTTTGTTTATGTGTGAGAATCCCATTAAATAACAGAAACTAGAATGCAATGGTAATTTTGCAAAAGAGGTAATTAACTTTTTGCCATCTGGATGAAATAAACATTTTTCAACATTTCAAACTAACCCCCCATACACACCCCTGCCCCACCTCACCAAGGAAAGCACTGTGCATGGCATATTCAGGGAACTCCAAGGAATCTGATGAGGTTGGAAAGCCGAGCTAACTAGGCATGAGAAGACCATGAAGGGTCTTACCCTCCATGCTAAAGAAGGTGGGCTCTTAGAGACTGCAGGGGTAATCTGGACAGAATGGCCTTTTAGAGGGGTCACTGGGATCATCATAGGCAGAGGGTGAAAGGGAGGGGGGTCAGGAAACAAAAAGGGAAGTCTTGGCAGGACCCGGATGAGGCGTGATAGGGCCTTGGAGAAGGAATGCTTCCTAGGGGCTGTGGAAGTAAAAGAATCAGCTGGCTCAGCACCTGGGGAGTGAGGACACGGAAGAGTGGGCTTGACAGTGGCTCTGAGACATTTTTGCAGAATTGAAAGGGCAAGCTCCTGGACTCTACCTCAGCCAATCAGGACCAGGTTCTACTTCAGCCAATTGGAACCTGGATCCTATTTCAGCCAATCGGGACCCGGATCCTATTTCAGCCAATTGGAGTTTGGTCTCTCTCTCTCCTCCAGTCAGCAAAAAGTGCACCCACCACCCCTAGACTCTGCCAATTGACCAAAGCCATGACCTATCACCCCACCAACTACCCCCAGGCCCAGCCAATCAGCCAGGGCCATGACCATCACCCCACAAACTGCCCTAGAAACACATAAAACCTTTGTTCTTGGAAAACTCGCTCTCTCTCTGGTGCCTGGCCACTGCGTTGGCACCGGTGTGAGATTGAGCTTGGGCTAGCTTGAATAAAGGCTCTTTGCTTTTGCATCTGTGTTGGCTCCTTGGTGGTCTCCTTGGGATTCGTGACTTTGGGCACAACATTTTGGGGGCTCATCTGGGATCCCGGAGACCCCCAGGACTCCTGACCCGTGGGGGCCTAGTGCCGGCTGGTGAGTCTACTCAGTTATCTGTCTGTCTTTGTCTACCTGTGTCTCACTCTGTCTCACTCTGTCTTTGTCTATCAGTGTCTCACTGTTTTTGTTCATGAACAAGCCTGTATAAGCCTGTAGGAGCTCCAATCTGTATCTGGGTCGGCATTGACTTAGGCAGACGCACTGGCAGGTCACCGACCAGGGGTCTTGGGAGACGTCCCTTGCCCCCGTCTGGAGGACGAGGTCCTCATCTGTGAGGAAAGTCGGCTGCCACTGCAGTCCGACAGACCCTCAACTTACTTTCAGTTTTGCCTCCTTTATCTCTCATGACAGACCATTTTTCAGATGTTAGGGAGAGAGCTCACAATTTGAGCACGGACATCAAGAAGGGAAAATTTCGTGCTTTCTGCACCTCTGAGTGGCCGTCCTTTAACATTAGATGGCCGCCGGAGGGAACTTTTATTCTAACCACCCTTTTACAGGTGAAAGGTGTTATCTTCAGGAAAGGAGCCTAGGGCCATCCAGGCCAAATTCCCTACATCTTAGTCTGGCAGGACCTAATTGAAAACCCTCCCTCGTGACTTAAACCTTTCCTTCCATCCAGGGCAGACCCCACGTCCAAAGTCTTGGCCCTACAAGGTCCAGTCCCAAAGTCTGGGAAAGACTCAGGACCTAAAGAAACCAAACCATCCCTTACCCAGTTCTGCAGGACACCAGCTCAGAGGAGTTGATCTTTCCACCACCCTATCAGCCCCTCCCAACCACCCTGCCAGCAGAGCCAGCAGAACCAGATGGAGGGGAACTAGTTCCAGAAGAACCAGTTCCTATTCCTGAAAGAGGAGCGCCTGCGCATGGACCTGCGGCAGGGACACAGGGCCGGGTCCATCGGGCGGCCCTCAGTCAAGGACCCACTGACTCAACTGTCCTTCCCCTGCTTGCCACAGGGCCCCCTGATGAAACAGGAGAACGGCCAAAGCACTATTGGCCGTTCTCCACTAGCGACCTCTCTAACTGGAGAACTCAGAATGTTAAGTTCTCAGAAAATCCCAAAGATCTTATTAACCTCTTAGACACTGTTGTTTTTACCCATCAGCCCACTTGGGATGATTGTCAACAGCTCTTACAGGTTCTTTTTACCATTGAGGAGAGAGAAAGGATCCAGGTGGAAGCCTGGAAGTCAGTTCTGGGTGACAATAGACAGCCCACCCAGAACCCAGCGCTCATCAATGCTGCTTTTCCCCTCTCTCGTCCAAACTGGAACTACAATTGAGCAGAAGGTAAGGAGAGACTCCAGGTCTATTGCCAGACTCTGTTGGCTGGTCTCAGGGCAACTACACGCAAGCCCACTAATTTGGCTAAGGTATATAATGTACAACAAGGCAGGGACGAAAGCCCAGCGGCATTTCTAGAGAGAATCATGGAGGCTTTTAGACAATACACCCCCATGGATCCTGAAGCTCTAGAGAATAGGGCTGCTATAGTTATGGCTTTCGTTAACCAAGCCACTCCAGACATAAAGAGAAAATTACAGAGAGTGGAGAGATTAGGAGAAAAGAACTTGCAGGACCTGGTAGTGGTGGCAGAAAGAGTTTTTAATAATTGAGAGAGCCCGGAAGAACTACAGACGAGAATAAATGACCGCCAAACTTGAAACTTGGCTAAAATACTGCTGGCTACGACTGCAGATAATCCTCAGGAGTGACAGAGACACCTTAAGAAACTGGCCACTGGACAAGGTAAGGAAGACCTCACCCGAGGGAACTGCCCTAAGTTAAATAAGAACCAGTGTGCCTATTGCAAAGAGGAAGTCCATTGGGTCAAAGACTGTCCTAACAAAAGACCCCAAAAGGCCCCCATTACTATCCTGGGTACTGAAGGCATTGATGACTAGGGGTGATGGGGTTTGGCACCCCTCCCCGAGCCCAGGGTAACCCTAAAAGTGGAGGGGCAACCTATAGAATTCCTTGTGGACACCGGAGCTCAGCACTCTGTTCTATTAAAACCCCAGGGAAAATTGGCAGATAAAACCTCATGGGTACAGGGAGCTACTGGGATGAAATGATATTCATGGACTACCCGAAGAACAGTGGACCTCGGTGTGGACCTCGGTGTGGGCCAGGTATCCCACTCGTTCATGGTCATCCCAGAATGCCCCTACCCCTTATTAGCCCAAGACTTGCTCACCAAGGTGGGGGCACAAATCAGCTTCCACCCAGAAGGAATAAAAATTCTAGACAAAGAAGGACATCCAATACAGGTGCTCACTGTAAGTCTTGAAGATGAGTACCGCCTGCACCAGGCACCCTTACCACCAATGCATGACTTAGAATATTGGCTACAGACATTTCCCCAAGCTTGGGCTGAGACAGGGGGAGTGGGATAAGCTCAACATAGGCCAGAAATATTTATAGAACTGAAAGCAGGCGCGGATCCAGTTAGGGTCCAACAATACCCAATGCCACTCTAAGTAAGAGCTGGAATCACTCCACACATTAGAAGGTTACTCGAGTTAAGCATACTAAGTCCTTGCCAGTCATCATGGAATACCCACCTATTACCAGTCCAAAAGCCAAACTCAACTGACTATTGACCAGTCCAAGACTTGCGGGAGGTAAACAAGTGAGTGACAGATGTACACCCAACGGTCCCAAATCCGTATACCCTCCTCAGCTCATTGCCTCCCACCCGAATCTGGTATACAGTCCTAGATTTAAAAGATGCCTTTTTCAGCTTGCCCCTAGCACCTAAGAGCCAGAACATCTTTGCCTTTGAGTGGACGGACCTGCAAAAAGGGATTAGTGGCCAGCTCACCTGGATCAGCCTCCCCCAAGGATTCAAGAACTCGCCCACCATCTTCGATGAGGCCCTACATGAAAATCTGAGTGAGTTCCGATCTAAACATCCAGAATTAACTCTTTTACAGTATGTAGATGATATCCTGGTAGCCACTGAAGACCAGGAGAGATGCCTGCAAGGAACCAAGGACCTGCTTTCAACACTAGGAGCCTTGGGTTACCGAGCCCAAATCTGCAAGACAGAGGTAAGCTACTTAGGCTATAAATTAAAAGGGGGACAGAGATGGCTCATGGAGGCAAGAAAAGAGACTGTCTTAAGAATACCACGCCCACAAAATGTCCACCAAATGCGTGAATTCCTAGGGTCCGCAGGATACTGCCGATTGTGGATCCCAGGTTTTGCAGAAATAGCTAGACCCCTCTATGAAGCCACCAAAGAAAGACAGGAGTTTACATGGACAGAGACTATGGAAAACTCATTCTCTAGACTGAAGCAGGCCTTACTCTCTGCACCTGCACTGGGGCTTCCTGATTTAACCAAACCTTTCTACCTATACGTAGATGAAAGTAAAGGAGTAGCTAAAGGAGTGCTGATACAGTACATTGGCCCTTGGAAAAGGCCCATAGCTTATTTCTCCAAGCAGCTAGACACTGTTGCCGCTGGATGGCCCCCCTGTCTGCAAATCATTGCCGCGGTGGCTACCATGGTCAAAGATGCAGACAAACTAACATTAGGACAAGAATTAAATGTCACTACCCCACATGCAATCGAAAGGGTGCTCAAAAACAGCCACCAGACAGATGGATAAGTAATGCCTGACTAACGCACTACCAAGGACTGCTTTTAAACCCCACTAGAATTCTGTTCCAGACACCCACTTCCCTGAACCCAGCCACCCTCCTCCCTGACCTGGACTGGGAGGCACCACTCCATGACTGTGGAGAAATCCTGGCTCATGTTCACGGAGTCAGAACTGACCTGCGAGATCAGCCACTGGCAGAAGCAGATGCCACATGGTACACCGATGGAAGCAGCTTCATGCAAGACAGAGTAAGGTATGCAGGGTCAGCTGTAACAACTGAGACAGAAACTGTCTGGGCTGAGCCACTGGCTCCAGGGACTTCAGCCCAGTTGGCAGAGCTGATCGCGCTGACTAGAGCATTGACTATGGCCAAAGGCAAATGCCTTAATGTCTATATGGACAGTAGGTATGCATTTGCCACTGCCCACATACATGGAGCCATCTACAGAGAGAGTGGGCTATTAACTGCAGAGGGAAAAACCATCAAAAATAAAGAAGAAATTCTTGGCCTCCTATGGGCCCTTTGGCTACCCAAAGCCCTGGCTATAATTCATTTCCCAGGCCATCAAAAATCTGACACCCTGATTGCCAAAGGAAATAGACTAGCAGACCAATGTGCCAGACAGGCAGCCCTTTCAGTGGACCATGCCCTAGTGACCACGTTGCCAGACCCAGGGGCCCCTAACCTCCCAGACACCCCCTCCTACACTGATAAAAACACAAAATGGATCAAGCAGCTACCCATGACCAACTACCTAAATGGGTGGTGGAGAGCTGCCAACTGCATCATTCTACCGGAAGAGCTAGGACAATATGTCCTGACCAAATTGCATTGGGCTACACACATGGGGATGAGAAAAATGGAAGACTTGGGGCGACATGCTCACATCACTATCAGAGACTCGATCAAAAATTGGACAAATCGTAGCAAGCTGCAAGGCTTGCCAACTGACAAATGCGACTGCCCAAGGGCCCAACCCTGGTACCAGACTCTGAGGAAACAGACCAGGCGCCTATTGGGAAGTAGATTTTATGGAAGTAAAGTCTGGAAAATATGGGTACAGGTATTTGCTAGTGTTTGTAGACATTTTTTTAGGTTGAATCGAGGCATTTCCCACCAAACATGAGACAGCGCAGACCGTGGCCAAGAAGTTGTTAGAAGACATCCTGCCAAGGTATGGTTTTCCTGCCAAGATAGGTTCAGACAATGGACCAGGATTTGCTTCCCAGGTAACTCAGGGAGTAGCACAGATTCTTGGGGTGGATTGGAAATTACATTGTGCATATAGGCCCCAAAGTTCAGGACAGGTAGAAAGAATGAACCAAACTTTAAAAGAGACCTTGACTAAATTAGCCCTAGAGAGTGGCGGAGACTGGGTAACTCTCCTTCCCTTTGCCCTTTATCGAGTGCGTAACTCCCCATATAAGATGGGACTTACTCCCTTTGAAATCATGTATGGCATTCCTCCACCTATTATTCCCACTCTCATACCCAAAGTACTTGCTGAATTTGATGATCAACTCCTTTTTTCCCTCCAAGTGTTGCAACGAACCCATGAGCAGGTCTGGCCTAAGCTGAAAGCTCTTTATGAGACTGGACCCCCTCCAGAACCACACCGCTATCGTCCAGGTGACTGGGTGTACGTCCAGAGACACCAACACCAGACACTGCAACCACGCTGGAAGGGACCCTACATCATGATCCTGACCACTCCCACTGCTCTCAAAGTTGACGGGATTACTTCCTGGGTCCACTGCACCCATGTCAGACCAGCTGACCTACACGCCATTCTCAAAGACTGTTCCAGGATGGAAAAGTCAGCCGGACAAAAGCAATCCTCTAAAGCTAAGACTGCACCATTCTCACTTACCCCACTAATGTTGCTTATACTATGCCTTCTTCATGCCAAAACCCGTGACCCTAACCCTCATACCCCTATAATAGTACATGGCAAATCATTACCCCAGCTTCCCACCAAGTAGTAGTCCAGTTAAAGGGACAATACCCTAGGGGGACCTGGTGGCCTACCCTCACTGTGGACCTGTGCACTCTCTTCAAACAAGACCCTTGGCACGAAGGTAGAATAGGGATACCAGGATGTGGTACTCAGGCTTCCATGAAAGAACTCCAAAATACCTGCTTCTATATATGTCCAGCCCCCTCAACCAACCATGCCAAGGTCTCACAGTGTGATGGGTGGACAAATTTTTTCTGTAAAAATTGGGGTTGTGAGCAGACTGGGACATGCCATTGGCTGACAGGAAAGCCTCCCCCAGGCCTCATAAAAATCCAACGAAATACAACTCACACCCAATGCACGACTAATCCCACCTGCAACCTAATTGACATCTCCTTTACAGATGCAGGAAAAAAAGAAACAAACTGGGAAATAGGGCTTATGTGGGGACTACGACTCTACCAGAGTGGATATGATAATGGAGTCTTGTTTATGCTCAGGATACTTGAAAGGCCTCTAGCCAGGTCCCAGAGAATAGGCCCAAATCCTGTGCTAGCACCTCCTCCACCCAAATTTCAGACAACCACAACGCCTATCTCCCCATCGCCCTCCCCTATACCTGCTATGACATTCGCCCTCCCTTCTATGAGGGAATCGTGATTTTGGGTCAGTACAACACAACTTCTGACCCTAATGCCTGTAGATGGCACCAGAGAACTCAAGGACTAACTTTACAGTCAGTGTCAGGTCACGGCCTCTGTTTAGGATACCCCCCCTTCAATATCAACCCCTCTGTAATACAACCATAAACCCCTCCAGTCCGGACTATTATGTACCCACCCCAAGAAAGTTGGTGGGCCTGCTCGACAGGCCTGTCACCTTGTGTCCACGGGCAGGTGTTAAATAAGACTAAAGGATCCAGCTTCTCCCTAAAATCATATATCACTCAGAAGAAGAAATATATCAGAGATATTCGAGTGAAATCGGACGCACTAAGAGAGAACCCATTTCAGCATTAACTATTGCAATGCTCTTTGGAATAGGGCTGACAGGGGTTGGGACTGCAGTAGCTTCATTAACAGTGCAGAGCTCCCATTATAATAGCTTGAGAGCTGCTATAGATTTAGACCTCGAGAGAATAGAAACCTCCATCTCCCACCTTCAGGAATCTTTAACCTCTTTGTCAGAAGGTGTTCTTCAGAACAGGAGAGGTTTAGACTTAATTTTCTTACAGCAAGGGGGGTTATGCGCAGCCCTGGGGGAAGAATGCTGTTTCTTTAAAGATCACTTGGGAATTGTCAAAGAATCTATGGCTAAAGTCCGAGAAGGCTTAGCCAAACGTAAGAGAGAATGGGAACAACAACAAGGATGGTTTGAATCTCTATTTAACAATTCCCCATGGTTAACAACCCTAGTCTCCACCTTAATGGGCCCTCTAGTAATACTGTTACTTCTACTTACCTTTGGACCCTGTATCCTCAATAGACTGATGACTTTTGTCAAAAATAGAATTAATACAGTTCAGCTGATGGTGCTAAGACAACAGTATCAGCCTTTATCTCCTTACAACTGTGAAACCTCATTGGACCCATGATTGGGTCCCTTTTTAAGATCCAAAGAAAGGGGGAAATGAAAGGGCAAGCTGCTGGACTCTACCTCAGTCAATCAGGACTGGGTTCTACTTCAGCCAATTGGAACCTGGATCCTATTTCAGCCAATTGGAGCTTGGTCTCTCTCTCTCTCCTCCAGTCAGCAAAAAGTGCACCCACCATCCCTAGACTCTGCCAATTGACCAAAGCCATGACCTATCACCCCACCAACTACCCCCAGGCCCAGCCAATCAGCCAGGGCCAATCACCATCACCCCACAAACCGCCCTAGAAACCCATAAAACTTTTGTTCTTGGAAAACTCGCTCTCTCTTTGGCACCTGGCTACTGCGTTGGCACGGATGTGAGATTGAGCTCGGGCTAGCTCGAATAAAGGCTCTTTGCTTTTGCATCTGTGTTGGCTCCTTGGTGGTTTCCTTGGGATTCGCTACTTCGGGCACAACAGAATGATGGTGTTTACCATTTGCTGAGGCCCCAAAAGAGAGGAGTAGAACAGATCTAAGGTTTGATGACTTCCTCACTGTTGCAGAACTGAATTCAAACTACTTGAACCCTTTAAAGTGTGGCTCCAACCTGGCTTTCAAGCCTCACTGCCTACAGCTGTCCTCAAACCAGAAGCCCCCAGCCCCTGGTGAACACTTTTTTGTCACTATTTTTTCTAACTGTAAAAATAACATGCATTTATTGTATAAATTTTGGAAAATACAGAAAAGCAGAAACAAAATAAAAATCACCCATAAACCTGTACCATACAGATAACCACAGTAAACATTTGGGATATTTCCTTCCAATCTTTTTTCTACAAATGACTATATTTTTATAGTTTTATTACAAAAACTAGAATCATATCTATTTACAGATTAATAACTAACTTTTTCCTCACATAACAGAATCAATACAAAGTTTTCAAAAACATCATTTTTAGCAGCTGTGCTAAGTAAAATAAGCCACTTACAAAGATTTTCCTAACATATGTTTGATCCCCTCTCATCACCATATGTTATATTTTCTTATGTTTCATGCTCTCCTTTTTTTCCCCCCCTTTTGGTCTTACACTGCCCATTGCTTCCTTTGCATTGTTTTCCTCTCAAGGGAATTGGAAGGTGTCCATTCCATGTTTATCCAAAACAGAATCTACCTTGAACTGCTCAGGCTTTCTTAGGGTGCCTTTGGGTCTGCTCAATGTCATTCCCACTTTTCAGTATGGCAAAATCCCTCTCAGCCTTCAAAATCTCCAAGGAGTCATCCATTCATTCATTCATGCACTCCTTCAAATGAATATTTACTGAGGACCCACTGTGCGCCAGCCCAGTAGCTACCAGAAACAGCAGTGACCATGGCAAAGACCCTGGACAGCCACAGCCCTCTCCCCAGGAGCAGTGCACACCCTTTTTTAGTGTACTCATAAAATTTTGTACCTCTGTTTAAACACTTTTCACATATTTTGATATTTTCTGGGCTGTGAGTCCTATTGGGTGCCTTCCCCACCCCCACCCCATTTCCTTCAAGGTTGGCCCACAACCTAGAAACCAGTAATGGTTCAGAAAGTGACTGCATGTGTTGAAGGGAGGAGGTGTAGCTGATGGCCTCTGAGTTTTATGACAACAGTTTCTAAACCTGAAATTGGGTCGTTTGGTTTGACAAGTCTAAGACGGCAATTGCTGCACCTCTGAGGGACTTGTGGAACTCACTTCTGTTGTTCGAGGGCTATAGTTAGTCCAGAGAGGTAAGAAAAGGCATCCAGATGCAGCTGGTGGACTCAGCCTGGCTGGTGGAGGCTGTGTTTCCATCCCTGCTCGTCCATTCCCAGAGATCAGACACAGGTGGCATAACTCACAGCAGCTGGAGGGGGGGAGCAGTGGCTACTTTGTGCCCCTTCTCTCCCCTCACCTCCCCCACCTCATGGACTGACCCACCTGGGCCCTTCCCACATCTCCCACCTCCCCTGCAGTCCAGACCACATGGCAGTCACACGCACTCAGGCTCCACGGCTTCTCTTTTTGTAGGCCAGCCTATCTGCTCTCAGCCCCTGCAATGACTGATTCAGCGACTGCCTCTTTGTAAATTTCCTCTTTGCCCCAGGGAAATGCCAACTGCTTCTGGCCCATGTTGTCCCCTGGGCTCTGGCCTGGGCTGGTCTCAGAGACAGCCAGCTGGGTCTTGGGGTCTTGTCCCCTCCTCTGCACTCCAGAGGCACAGGGGAAGTCCCTGGTTCTGTGGGCATGGGCACTCCTCAGGTAGCTCAGTCTCACTGATTCCCTTTGGAGATAGGAAGGAGCTCGCCTGATAGGGACAACTACATTAAGTATGCAACAGTGGGATCAAGACCCCACTATGGGTCTCCTCTCCTTCTGCCTCGTGTACACATTTGAGTGGGGGAGGCTTTGAGGAAGGGATGTGATGGCTGAGCTGAGGAAACACACTGTGTCACCCATGCAGTCTTTCCTTTCAGTCCCAGCCTTCTTTATTGAGCTGCAGAGTTAAATCCTTGGCAGCCTCCACACCATCTGAGCAAAGAAGAAGGCACGTATGTTCTCAGCAGCTCTTCAGTTTGGCTCCCCCAGGTGCTGCAGTCCCTCCTGCCCACTCTGTCCCACCATCTGTGCTCTCCACCACCCCTCACAAACATCTGCATGTGTACTGTGCCCTTGAATGGACCCATGCAGGTGCAGGGCTTCTGAGAACACCTGCCCAGAAACTTTTCTCACCTCTGCCCTTGGGAGGAGAAGTAGCTGAAGCCTCTGGCTGCCTCAGCCCACACATGGGGAAGAGTGGGGTGGCTTGGGCCATGGTCAGGCCTCGAGTCCAAGTGCGGTCATAGCATACCTGAAAGCACAACTGGATGCCACCACTGGCCCAGGCTGGCCAGCACAGACCCCTGAGGCCCAGAGATAAAGGAGGACCATGGGCGGCCCCAGTAGGACAGCCTAATCTCTGAAGTCAAATGTACATTTCAGAGCAATCGTAGGTGGGAGTTTGCTGGGCTCTCATTTCCTTCTGCCCAAACTCTGGTATCCCTGGAGAATCCTCTGAGAAATCATGTGTCAAGGAAGTTTGGCTTTATGGAGACTCAGCAGCTAGTTTCAAGGACAAAAATGTGGAGATAAAGGTGGTGGGGAGAAGCAGAGGGTGATGAGGCAGGCTTCCTCCTCCAGCCCACCAGCTCTCAGCAGGCATAGGTCCTGGCCAAGGGTCTGGGTGCCAGTGCTCCTGGAAGATGCAGGGTTAAGAATGAAGATTCAGAGTGAAATGCTGGGTGAAAATCCCAGGATGCTGGGTGATGATGAACTTGGAAGAAGTGCTGGGAGGGAAGGTGATGAAGTTGGGTGTGACAGTGACCTCCAGTTTTGTTTCTCACAAGCACTGAGGGGCCTCCACATCTCCCACTGCTGGCTCATCTGGAGTGGGGAACTCCACAGGCCCATCTGGATCAGGTGGCTCCACAGGCCCATATTCATCACCCACCAGTGGCTCTTCCTCTCCCTTTAGGTTGGGGGCTGACCCAGCTTTTAGCTCCTCTAGTGCCAAAGAGCCCTGGCATGACTTGCGTCTACTGAAGAAAGTGGTGAGTGTAGGCCTTCAGCCAGACCCCTCCTCCTCAAAGGTCCCAGAACCCTTGTTGCCCCTGGACCCTCCTGCTGTTACTGTCAGAGTCTCTTCATCACATACTTGGGCTGGCCCAGCCCAGGCATCTACTACCCCATTGCGCTTTCCACCAATGCTTAGTGTCAGAATCCCTGTCCTCCGCTTCTGCCGCTGGTGCCACAGCAGGAGTAGTGCCATGAGGACAATGAACATTAGCAGAGCCACAAGCAGAGCCACCAGCAGGGTGCCATTTGTCCCATGATCTTAATTTGGGGAGGACTTTGGGGTAGTCATAGTGGGTATTTTTACCCCGCATGAAGGGGAGTTACTGATCCCCTTGGAGGTCTCCAGGGAGCTAGTTGCCATGGGGACAGAGGGTCCACTGGTCCCCATTGAGGTCTTCAAAGAGCTGGTTGCCATGAGGACAGAGGGTCCACTGGTCTCCATGGAGCTCTCCAAAGAGCTGGTTGCCATGGGGACAGAGGGTCCATTGGTCCCCTTGGAGGTCTCCAGTGAGCTAGTTGCCATGATTCCACTAGTCATATGTTGAGAATTCATTACTGAGATGGCAGGGTTACTGGTTGCTTTAAAAAGCTGTAAGACTGATGACTGCTTGGTGGAAATTTCCTGGGAGTTTGCTGGATCCGGGACAGATTGGCCACTGCTGACAGCAATAGAAGTCCCAGGAGAGGAAACGTCATTGGCTGTATAAGGGGTTGAAGTAGATGGGAAGATCTGGTGCCCAGTGCTATTATTCTTCTCAGTGACCCTTGTTTTTATGAGGGCAGAGATTGCTGACTTGAGGTTTGGGGTCTTAGTGGTATCAGAGACTAAAGAAACAGAGGAGCTACTAGATACAGTTGTCTGAAGAATGGTTGTCAACACCAAAGACTTTACAGTCATCTCTTGGACCAAGATGCCCGCAAAGAGGAGGAAAAGCAGGGTCATTTGCATGGCAACAAGCAGGAGCAGGAGCTGAGACCTGAGGGGGGGAAGTTAGAGAAATAGAAAACATAAGGAGCTGGGCGGGGGATACCCTGGCCAGGCCCTCCCCTCCTGCCCACATCCCTGCTAGCTGCTGGGCCCCTAACTTGTGGTTTAACGGCTTTTTCCACACTTGCTTTTACTATTATCATAAATAACAGATAAAGGAACAGATGCAGGCAGCTCTCCCATTAACTCTATCCCATAGGCTTCCTCAGCTTGGCAGCTTGCACTGCAGCAACGGCTGCCACTTCTGGCCTTCCCTGACCCTATTCAGCCCCAATGGCTCCTGATCCTATTTTCCCATCATCTACCAGAGTCTTCTCAAGCCAAAGGCACATTCCCAGGTCTGCTGAAGCCCCTGCCCCACCAAGTCGCACCTCTTACCAGCTCACTTGATAAGGGCACAGGACTGGGGCCAGGTCACTCCAACTCCTCCTGCAGCTGGGGCAGGACTGGGCAGACAGGGCCCCAAGGGCAAAGGAGTGGCTCCACCCACCCCACTCCAGCATCCTGCCCCACCCTCCTGCTCCCACAGCTGCTATGTGATGAGAGCACCATCACTTACTCTTTCCGGGGTATGAGATGGTGCCAGGGGCTCTGTGTATCATCTGAAGCAAGTGGGCATGTGGGAGGTCTGGAATGGAGTTTCCTGGGTCTTAGCTGGGAATAGGATGGTAGGAAGTGATGCTGGCTAGGGATGGGGGTCAGCACTGGGTGATGGAAAGGTATATTTGAGATGTATAGGTGTAGAGAAGATGGGAGGGACAGATAGTTTCCTTTGCATTTGTGGTCCCCAACCTGTTCAGCCAGGACCCAGGGTGGCACCATTTCCTGCCCCAAGAGCTCCCAGGAGCAAGTACCAAGACAAGAAGTCCCCCAACTAGTGAAAGGTTTTGCAGGCTGCCTGTGATCCTTGGTGAGCTCTTGACAGCTTCTCAATGAGGTCACCACGATGGCCTGCAGTTGTGGAGTGCTTAACTAAATCCAGGTAGTTACTAACACTGTATATGCTAGGATTTGATTTTTGTAGAATATTAATAAAGATGAGGGAAACTACATAGAAAACAGTCTGGAAAGATATCTACTAAGGTATTAACCAAACTTCTTTGGATAGGTATGAATAGGGGGTTCTTTATTTTCATTTTTTGGATGGTTGCTGTTTTTTCTGACTTTCCTCTAATTTGTAAGCTTTGACTTTTGGTGTGTGTATGGTTTTGTTTTTTGCCTTTAAAAAAATCAGAACTGACTAATAAAGGAAATGCATATGAAACAATGAAGAAAAATCAAAACTGAATTTTAGACTGTAAAAATAATAATGTACATGATAGATGGAAACAGGCCAATGTCAGGGCCTGGGATCATACCACTCAAGCTAATGAGTTAGTCTGACAAAGACATGAAACTACTGGATCAAAGACAGGAATCCATTACTTACAGCACAGCGAGCAGCAGGAACAATGTGTTCGCATCATTTCCTCTCATCCATAAATCCAATGAGGGTGACACAGAGGGGCTTGCCTTGCAGCTGAGGAACCCTAACCTTCAGGAATTTCCCTCTTCACAAGAAGGTGGTAAGCAAGTCCGCTCTTTGTCCTGAAGGGAGACATTACTTCCTCCCTCAGAGTTACTTACTGAAAACACACCCCTGAGAAATGGCCTGGATGCAAAGTGGCCAGGACCTTACTTTCTTGGCATACCAGTGGGAGTGTACAGATATGCCCAGGGTGCATGGAGCCATGGTGGATTGCCTCTCCCAACAATCAGGAGAGTGTAAAATGAAAAGGCTCCTATAACAACAAAGCAAAACGGAAGGAACAAGCAGCAGCAGACCCAATCCTCAAGAAGGGACTGCTGGTTACCAAAGGGAAGAGGCTGAGGAGGGTGGGTGGGAAGGGAGGAAGAAGTGGATTGATGGGTATTATGAATAGCACATATAATGTAGGGGGTCACAGGAAAGGCAGTATAGCACAGAGAAGACAAATAGTGACTCTATAGCATCTTCCTATGCTGATGGACAGTGACTGCAATGGCTGGGGAGATCGGGGGGACTTGATACTATGGATGAATGTTGTAACCACAAGATACTCATGTGAAACCTTCATAAGAGTATATATCAATGATACCTTAAAAAAAAGACTCCCTACCACCACCACCAGAGAAATATTCATAACAAAGTCTGTGTTTAAACAAGCATATGTGCATATATTTCATTATACTAGATTCTGAAATTTTCTTTTTTTACTTTACTGAAAGAAAAAAGAGAGAGAAAGAAAAAGAGGAAAGGAAAGGACCCATTCCATTGTCAGACACTTAGATTATTTCAACATTTTGCTACTACAAACAGAAAAGGAGTAATATTGGCTGAAAAGTAATTGGAGGTTAAAAACATTTTTTTTAATTCTAAGAATTTGACAAAAATGTTTGTAAGACTGCACAAAGATTCCAAATTTCCCAATCTTAAAAAAGCACAGAGCAAAATTCATTTTCGACCAAATTTTCATTCCAAACAGATTGCTTCTGTCAGAGTTGTATGTTTCCCAGGCTCTGTGTGGGACCCCAATTCTGGGGACAGCTGAGAGCATGTAGGTGGGTCCAGGGCCAGGGTTGGGGCAGGGAAAGTACAAGATTAGCCTGACACATCTTGTTGGAACATAGAGTAAGAAAGTGCTCAAAGAATGATGGGAAGCACTTTAGAAACAGGGTCTGACCAGAACAGACTATTGGCCCTGACAGAGAGGGAGAGATGATGAAAATGTGAACAAGGGATGGTCATTGCCCAAAAGACATCACAGAAGAGTAACCCCTGGAGCAGCAGTTTGCCAGGTACTGACCCAAAGGTTCTCTATGTCTGATTCTAGCTGCTTCTCACAGCAGGCCCATTTTATAGGTGAGGAACCCAAGGCACAGAGAGTTTAAATAACTTGTTCCAGGCATTTAGAATTGCCAAGCTCAGTGCCAAACACTTTACATTCACATGGCATTTACTCTTTACAACAATCTTCTAAGACACATATCATTACAGTCAAAGAAACTGAGAAACAAAACAGGTAAGAGATTTGCTGAGGCTTAGACAACCAGCAAGTATTAGAGATGAGCTTCAAAGCAGGTTGATCTAACAGCCCAAGGCCAAGGATAAGGACATCCCAGATAGTACCAGGGTCTGATACTCAATTACTGTGCTGCATTTAAAGACATGCTTATGCACAAATAACTCAAATAATAGAATCCTTGCTAATGAAAGGGACTGGAGTCAGACTTAGTGTCTAGGAAAACTTCAGAGAAAAAAATGTCTTAAAAAGTGAAAGGGAGAAGGGAGCCAAGATGGCGGCATGACTAGAGCAGTGGAAATCTCCTCCCAAAACCACATATATATTTGAAAATACAACAAATACAACTATTCCTAAAAGCGAGACCAGAAGACACAGGACAACAGCCAGACCACATCCACACCAGCGAGAACCCAGCGCCTCGCAAAGGGGGTAAGATACAAGCCTCAGCCTGGTGGGACCCGAGCGCCCCTCCCCCCAGCTCCTGGTGGGAGGAGAGGACTTGGAGCAGGGAGAGAGAGGGAGCCCAGGACTGCTAAACACCCAGCCCCAGCCAACCACACCAGAGCGCAGACACGGGGTGCGTGGGGTGCTGGATACTAGGGAAACAGGACAGTAAGACCTGTAAGCGGGTCCCCGCAGCTGGCCCCCTGGAGACAAAGAGAAGTGAGTGCTTTTGGAAAGTCTTAAAGGGACAGGGACCCCACAGCTGGATGGAAGTGTCCAGCGACACTCAGCCCAGCAGCTGGGAATCTCGGGGAACTCCAGGCACTCTACCCCCTGGGAAGCAGAGAACACAGAGGCCCCTCATGGAGATAAAAACCCTCCTGGCTGTTTCATCTCCAACACGGCTCTGCCATATCAGAGCAGCAGCCCGAGGCAGGCCACGCCCACAGCAAATGCGGAGCTAAACTCCATAGCAGCAGGCAAGAATCAGAAGTCCCATCTGTGTGCAGCTGCTTAGCAGAAGTCACTAGAGGTCGCTGTTCTCCCAGGAGAGGAAGGCCATAAACCAAGAAGAAGGGATGTTCTCCCAGCCATCACCTGTGGCAGATCTGCAAACTATCTCTATCACCATGAAAAGGCAGAAAAATTTGATACAGACCAAAATCACAACCCCTGAGAAGGTGATAGACCTAACCAGTCTTCCTGAAAGACAATTCAAAATAAAAATTATAAACATGCTGATGGAGATGCATGATGGAGAGAAATATACAACAGTTAAGGGATGAAATCTGGAGGGAGATTACAGATGTCCGCAGGGAGATTACAGAAATGAAACAATCTCTGGAAGGATTTATAAGCAGAATGGATAAGATGCAAGAGGCCATTGATGGAATAGAAACCAGAGAACAGGAACACATAAAAGCTGATGCAGAGAGAGAAAAAAGGACCTCCAGGAATGAAACAAAATTAAGAGAACTGTGTGACCAATCCAAAAGGAACAATATCTGCATTATAGGGGTACCAGAAGAAGAAGAAAGAGAAAAACGGATAGAAAGTGTCTTCGAAGAAATGATTGCTGAGAACTTCCCCAAACAGGGGGAGGAAACAGTTGCTCAGACTACAGAGGCACAAAGAACTCCCAACAGACGAGACACAAAGAGGACAAAACCAAGACACATAATAATTAAAATGGCAAAGATCAAGGACAAGGACAGAGTATTAAATGCAGCCAGAGAGAGAAAAAAGGTCACCTACAAAGGAAAACCCATCAGGCTATCAAAACACTTCTCAACAGAAACCTTACAGGCCAGAAGAGAATGGCATGATATATTCAATGCAATGAAACAGAAGGGCCTTGAATCAAGGATACTGTATCCAGCATGATTATCATTTAAATATGAAGGAGGGATTAAACAATTCCAAGACAAGCAAAAGTTGAGGGAATTTGCATTCCACAAACCACCTCTACAGGGT